GTTCATGCCAGGAGATATACTTTGGGTTTTCTCTCCTAGAGGAAGACAATTCATTCAAAAACTGAAGGGCAGGGGAAGCTACCATCAACATACCCATGTATCCGAAGTCCTTTGAGTGCTGGTTCGAATTGGGCTATCCAAAGAATATAACTATCTTTGGTGAGCTTCACAGTGATGAGCTAAGAGAAACTACTAGCAGAAACCACGGGTGGAGTAATGGTTGAGGTCTGTATTGTTGTGGAGATGTTGGAAAGAAGAATAGCTGCACTGTTGTCCATGGTGCTCAAAGAAGACACAGGTCTATGATGCTCTAATACCATAAAGTGATTAACGGTTTGAAGAACTTGCTCTGCATTTTGAGCATATTGTGTTGGAATATTTATAGAGAAGATTTTACATGATAAGATGATATGGCTGTATAGAATTTTAATGTAAACAAATCCCAACAAAAACGGGAGTAGAGAGATAAGCCTTATCATGAGAGAGAGTTATTCATAACAGAGAGAGACTTTAGTCTCAGTCGGTGAGCATATTATATGCCGTGAAGGAGAGCCCCCCATTCATCTTGGAGAGGGTTTGTTGTTGCAACTCTGTTACTTCTTGTGAATATTGTACCATTATCTACTGAGAAGATTGCAACTCTTGCTCCTGCCAATATAGATGAGGATATTAAAGAACCATCAGTGAACAATTTATATTCTATCGAGGCATTTATATGTGAGTGTATAAAGCTTGGGTGACAGTCTTGAACAACTGTGCTCGAAGGTAAGTAGTGCATATCTTCTAGCAGTTTAAGTGGATTCAGTACAGACTTATTGTGCAGAGCTGAATTCCTCACATCCCATAGCAGTCTAAAAAGGATAAAAAAACTTAGCCATAAAGATCTGCCTTTCATCCCTATTTAACACATTCAGCTTTGATTCAATCCACTCAGATACAAATTCATGAATTGCTTTATTCTGAAATCTCTCTAGATTGATGCCCAAAGAAGTTGAGATCCAAAGAGCATGAGAATAAGCACATTCAAAGAAAACATGTTGCCATGCCTCCATATTCATGTGACACATAGAACATTTCTTCTCTTCCTCATTAAGGAAATGTAGTATGTCTTTTGTCTTAATGCCATTCCATCAAGCTTTTCACATAAAGATTTGGAATCTCATAGGGACTTTACACTTCCATATGAGACTCCACTTTCTTTGGTGTCCAGAAGATGATGCTTGTGTAGCCGTGAAGAATCTGTACCCTAACTTTACATCATACTCCCCATATTTAGAGGATTTCCATAGGAGCTTGTTCGATGGGAGATGATGCAAAATCAATGTTTGCAGAATGTACAGTCTGCAGTTTTCTATAAATAAAGATGCAATTTTCTGTACCTCCCATGTATTGGAATCAGAAATGAGGTCTTTTACAGTCAAGCCAATATTCTGGTTCTGAGCTTTTCTTTGAACTTTAGGAGTTCCATTTGGAAAAGGCGGAACCCAAGGATCTGATATGTATATTGAGGAGCCATCTTTTATTTTCCAATTAGTGTTTGCTTTTATTTTGTCCCACAAAGATAATAATTGTTTCCACCATTTAGAGTCTGTCTTTTTTTAAAGGAAAACAGAGATTTATTCCTAAAATAATTTTCTTTTATTTCTTTCCTCCATAATCCATGTTCTCCAGTAAACAACCTCCAAATTTGATTGGAAAATAGAGCTTGGTTAAACTCTTTCATCCCCCTGAAACCTAGGCCACCCATACTTCTTGCTTTACACAGTAAATTCCATGCTATTGTATGAACAGATCTGTTATTTATAGTCATTCCACCAGAAATTCCTCTATGTTTGCTTTAACTTTTTTAGAGTAGAGTTTGGGAAGATAGACACTCCCATGATGTATGTAGGCATGGCTTGGAAGTGTGAACTTTATCATGGTGGTCCTACTCGCTTAAGAAAGCAATTTTTCTTTCCATAGACCTAGCCTTGAGTTCATTTTTTCCTAATTATTTCGGCGAGCATTTCCAAGGTTAAGCTGTACTCCTAGATATTTCTCCACTTGTTTCAATAGTTTCATGTGAAGAGGTGACAAAAACATTCCCTTTTTCTTCTATGAACCCCAGAGCTGAAGTGAACACCAGATTTTGTTTTGTTTATTTTTCGACCAGACATCTTCTCAAATTGCTTCAGTTCATTCATCATCATTTGAACTTGACTGATGTCCACTTTGCAGATCAGTAGGCAATCATCTGCAAATAAAAAGTGTGTGATTTATGGTCCACCCCTACTGAGTTTTATGCCTTGAATTCTGTTACTTGAGCTTTTGAGAGCAAACATGTTAGGATTTGCATCCCAATTATGAACAAATAAGGGGAAAATGGGTCCCCTTGCCTTAAACCATTTTTTTGAGGGAGAAGAATTCCTTCTGTGTTCCATTTATTTTAACTGAGAATCTTGGAGTTTCTATACATCATTTGGTCATCCCACACCATTTTTATGGAAAACCCATCTCCTTGAGAATTTGGAGAATTAATTCTCTTGTCATTCTATCATACGTGTTGGACATATCAATTTTCAAAAGAACCCACCCTTTCCCTTTTTCCTGCTTTTTCATTTTATGTACAATCTCTTGAGTTAGAATGACATTGTCCACACACTATCATCCTTTTATGAATGCCGCTTGATTTGGATCAATAAGTCTGTTTAAGTAATTTTGCATTCTAAGCACCAAACATTTGGACAAAATCTTATATATTAAATTGCAAACACTAATTGGCCTAAATTGGCTAACTGTTTCTGGGATCTTCACTTTTGGAATATAAACTAAGTTCATAGAATTTATTTTTGGAGGAAATTGGTCTGTCTCAAAAAATTCTCAAACCAATCTATAGACATCATTTTTGAGTAAACTCCAGTATCTTTGGTAGAAAATTGGAGTGAATCCATCTGGACCTAGGGCCGAATGAGCCCTCATGGATTTTACAACCATCTTTCTGAAGGTGGACTCAAGATTTCTTGTACTTCCTCCGAAAGTTTTTCAGAGATCAAGTTTTGTATTGAAGGAGTTTCAGAGTAATTAGAATTACTAACATTCTTAGCTCGATTTTTGAAAGCTTCTGAAACTTCTTCAAGGGACATCATATCCCCTTCAGAAGATTTCAGGAACTCGAGAGCATTTCTTCTCCTATTAAAATTGGTGAATTGAATAAAATACCTAGTGTTACGATCACTTTCTTGGAGCCACAATTCCCGGGACTTCACTTTCCACAACATTTCTTCTCTCTTCAACCATTTCTCATATTCTCTCCTGAGTTGTAGTTTCGTCTGTTGAGAGCTTGTTGAGAGCTTGAGGTCTCTTCCTCCTCTAGTTTGACTAGTTGGAGCTCTACTTCTCTCAGTTTCAATTCAATTTTCCCGAATCTTTGGGAATTCCAGACTTTGAGGATGCATTTGCACGCTTAGTTGGGATTGTTTCAGAATATGGTGGAAAAGACCATTGGGTTTCTAAAATTTGCTTGCGTTCTTCTTCTACCCACATAGGTATAAAGTGAAATTGTTTAGGGCCTAAGATAGTTTGGAAGTTTGTGTCCAAGACCAACAATGCATGGTCTGAAAAAATAGTTTGGGAGTTTGTATCCATTCCGCGATCAAGCTTTTCCTTAACCCTTTTGGACCCCATTTTTTATTGAACCATGTAAACTTCGACCCAATTAGTTCAATCTCTAGGAGATAGTGGTCAGCTATCAAAGCATTTAGTGAGTTGGATATTCTGTTGATCACCACTCTAGAACCACTGTATTCAGATGGGTGGATTATGTCATTCAAATCTCCTAATAACAACCAATTATTGGTACTCCTCATTTTCTCATTTACTGTATTCTAACATTGAGGTCTTTTTTGTTTCACAGGGTGACCATAGACTAAGCAAATGTCCCATGCAAGAGATGTTTAAGTCAGATTTGTATGCAGAATAATCCATCTTTCAGAAATTTCTTCTATGTAGAAAGGGAGATCAGCTTTCCAACAACAGTAAAGACCCCAGATCAACCTTGGGTCTTGGGCCAGGAAATAGCAATTTTGGGTATAACCTAGTACTTTCCCTAGGTGTTTCGATTTATCCTCATCTAATTTCGTTCCCGATAGAAACAGTAAATCTGGGTTAAATTTTCTTATTTGTTTTTTAGGAAACGAAGGGTACCTGCCTATAGCTGGTGGTGGTTAACACTTGACACTTAACAGAGGTTACCGGTGGGATCATTCCCATCGAGTCAGCACTCTCAGTGAGTATTGGGTAATGAGTAGTACTGAATTGTTGTGTCTAGTAATTAATGGATTATAGATCCTTTTCTGAAGGTGCAAGCTTTTGGGCTCTGCGTTCCCCCTGTCACCGCACCTCAGAAGTCAAAACGGTTAAATTGTAAACAGAGCTGAGAGGTGAGAGCTCTCATTTAACAATCCTAGTTCAAGTGTTAAACAGATGATAAATCCTTAATCCTGGCAGGTAGCACGCTAGCAGTCGTCTTACAGCCAGGTAGCGTTGCTGCTGAAGTTTCTGAGAACCCATAATTCATAATCATCAATGAAGCCCACCTTGGTTTTGATGTGGTTAACTAGGGTAAAAATCAAATGTGATTGTTATACGTTGTTGAATTCCTCACGAAGTAGATGAAATTCTAAAATCATCCAAGTTCCAACTAAGTTGATTTCTTTTAATTTGTTATTATCAGTAATAAGTAAGAGAGTCATGTTCTTTCCAGTGACCGGCTTAATTTCTGTTTCTGATAAGCTTTGACAGAAGCTGGAAAGAAAAGGAGGATGGACTCATCTGAAAAGTTTTGTAATCCTGTCTACCAAACTTAGTCCTTGGTTTATTGTCAAAACGTCTTGATGGATGCTTTTAGAAATTAGAACGACGAAGAAAGATTTGCATTACCATAGCAATCCTACCTAAAACAGAAAGGCAATAAGAAATTCAAAAAGAGAGAATATGAAAAAAAAAGGAGCAAATAATTCAGGAAAAAGTTAACCCCCTGGTGATCCTCCATAGCAGATTATCCAAACAACTGCCGAGTTCAAAACTTACAGTAGAATAGTATAGTTAATGCTAGATTACAAATTTCAAATGCAAACAGATTACAAATTTAAGTAGATTAGGTTAGATTAGATACTTGCATAGCGAAATCAAATCCAACAAATTAGAAGAAATTCTACACTGATTTTCCGCTTTAGGAGCGACCAAGTAGAGCATCTTTGTAAGGAGTGGGAAAAACAATTGGCTTTGCCTCATTCTGCTTCCTCCTTGTCTGCTCTTCTAATATGAGAGGCACTTCACCTTCCCTCTCTCGATTGAGTTGCTCTTGTGCTCCACCTCGCAGTTTTTCAAGCCTCACTCCACCCACTTGTTGCATCTTGAACACCTTTGCCAAGTTAACCAATCCCCCTATTAGGAAGAGCAAACTTCCAAAGATTCCCAGCCAAACCCAACTCTTCCCCTGCACAAGCATTAAACAACAAAAGAATTTTCATATTTAGTTTATATTAGTTCTGCTTCTACATTATTTTGATGTTGTTTATATCTGTATAAGGGTGAGATAGGAAAACCACAAGGATGAAATCCTCGTCTGTCCAACATATGCTAGCTGCTCATGTGATGTAACCAATCAACAAGGGCAAATGAGCAATCAACAATATGAAATCACAGATTGTTCTCTCATCTCTGTTATACATTTGCACCTGTTTCTACCTAAAATATAATCTCTTTTGTGTTCTTAATCAGCAATTCAGTTAGCATGCAAAGGACCCATTTACATGAGCAGAGGTAATCGAGTCGGAATTAATGAGCAATATGATTGTTGTTGGGCCTGGCACAAGGGTCTAGGTCTGGGATGTTGAAATAAGTTTGATAATTCCATTTGATAAATTACGAGACTGTATGTACGAGCAGGACAAACCAAATGAACTATATTTAAGGCTGGGGATATTTAATTAATTCTCCAACCACTACACCAGAATATACAACCATTTGAAGGTAGTTTACCAATTTTGTGGTCTTAGGCACAAGTTATTACCAGGAGCATCAAGCCATGGTGGATCATCCCACTTTGCTCATGACAGTTGAGAATTGCGCCAACCAAGAATAAGAGGCTTCCCATCAGGAATGGGAGATAAACGCTTTGTTGCAAAATTTGAACATGACCATCAGCTCTCTCATAAATCTGGCATGAGTTGTTTATTGAACCAATAAGCCATAGAACTGAGCCCACAATAAGCATGTTCAATGCATACTTCTCCAGTCTAAAATAATAATAACGCCCTTTCTCCGCCTGCATTTCACCGCAAAGTATAGGAAGTATGTTTAGTAACAGAAACACATGAGAAGGAAAACAAGCCTCCCACATAAGCTTAAAAATCATACTCTACATTTTATTGCTCATAGTAGTAAACGCACAAAACTCAAAGGAATATAATTGCAGTTTAACAGGAATATAATTAATTATTTAAAAGTAAACAACATTCTCTATCTATCGTTATGCACAGATCAGATGAGAGTTATTTCAGTTTATTGGAAATGTTCTCCAAATGGGTGCGTTAATGCCTTGCATAATGCATATATAAAGCTCATATAATATAATAGAAGTTGTTTGATTGTTCAGACATGATACATACATACATACATACCTGAATTAAGAAAAAGAGAATGGGTAAGAAATTAAGCACGGAACCTAAAACCTGCACGATCGGAACTGCAAACTCGACGAGCGCAAGCTGCCTATCGAACCCCATCAGCCCCAATTGGTAATCGATTCCGGCCAGATGTGCAAGGAGATCGTGAACATTGACCAGGGATATAAGTGCTAATGCTATGAGGAGGATGACGAGACCCGACTTAGCATCCCTGGAAAACTGAGACAAGAATCCACCAACCAGGAGTAACGATGCAAAAACATATAACCCTGCATTTATAAACTCTAATCTGTTTCGACCCAGCCGTGGACCATATAATCGGTTCTCTCGTGCCGACGCAAGCTTTACCATTCCTCTTTCCCCCCTGTGTATCCAAGATGCCTACCCTGTTCTGTCCCGTAGAAGTATACAGATGAAATTTTCTTTTCTCTGCTGATTTATTGGCTAAATTTGCCGGAAGTTTGAGAGGAAATGATCGGAAAGTGGAGGAAGATCTCAAAAACTAAATAGTAAATACCGTTTCTGCGTGTGGTGGGAGAGAAATAACTAGCGGAGAGGGCGTAAAAAGAAATGTGTATAATGATGAAATCGGATACGTGTCCTTCTGCATGAAATCCAAAAACAAGAATGACCCCGTACTAAGTACGACGGGGCAACTACACTAATTTAAAACCTTTCTTATCGTTAAATTTCCGTTACAATGTGACAACACGCTATTGATATATTTTCTAAAAATTCTTACGGAGAACTACGGATACAAACGATGCAGAATTCTGAATTCCAGCCACCGCCCTCTTCCCCCTATAAACTACACCCTGCCCATTAATTCACGGTCAGATCCATTCCCCATGTACTTTGGGGTTATAAAATTTTGATCTGAACTGATTATTCAGCCTCCCAAATTTTTAAAATATTTTCTCTCGATAAATTTTCAAAATAAAGTTCATGATACGTACATTGCTTTCCCCTCCTCCCCTAAAGTTGTTCTTTGTCTTTGTGAGAGAGCATGTCCCTGTTTTCGTCGTCGTTGCAATCATGTTTTTTAAAACCGATCTGATGATCGAATCGGTCACTGATTCGGTTATCGGGTCAAACAGTTTGACTATTCAAACTGAACGTTCGATTCGTTCTGATAAAAAAAATAAAAAAATAATAAATGGTCAAAACTATTTGAACCATTTAAATGATTAATTATTTGATTCAGCGATTTACTGACCAAAATCAATGATTTTGAGGAAAATCGAGTTTTTGGAAAAAACAGAACTGGTCAAGTGACCAATCCCAGTTATTCTGGTCCGATTTTGAAAACCATAGTTGGAACTACCACCCATGATAATACCACTTTTTGCAATCCCAAACTCAGGAGAATGGTGGAAGTGATTCCGACATGAATTCTACTCCCAAACGACAAGGGAAGTTTTATGGTGGGCAATTGGGAGATGCTATTTTGAGCAGTTTGGAGAGATCCCAAAAAGTTGTGTCGATCACCGATAATAACTCCTGAAAATCTAAGGTTATGTTTGGTTTGAAGGAAAAAGCAGGGAAATGAAGAAAAAGAGAAACCTTTACAAATTTTATATAGCTTTCTTTTTCTTTTCCTTTCTTTTCTTACATTTTCCTTTAAACCAAACATAGCCTAACGGATACGATTTTGTAATGTTCAAGGATCGATCTAGATGCCGCAATGAGGGCCTTACTGCAATGTGCACATCGGAATCGCCAATCTACTTATCAAGTCCATCTAAACGTAAGCCACTTGCCCGTTAAAGATGACAAGGTCACTGTTTTCAAAACAAATTGGGAACCGATCACCTGATTAGATCTGTTTTTCTCCAAAATCATTGATTTTGGTCAGTAAACCATTGAATTGGCCGATTAATCGTTCAAACCATTCAAACTGTTTGAACAGTTTTGACCGTTTTCCAATTTTTTATTTTTTTTTGTCAGAATGGGCCAGTCGTTCAGATCGAACGATCAGACCGTTCAAACTGATAACCGAACCCCTAACCGGTTAAATCACCAACTCGTTTTTAAAAACCATGGACAAGATTGATCAATTTCTTGTGTTGGAATTACAGAGCTACTCCGATCCACTAGAACATTCAATTCTGGAATATGGTGAGTTAGTCGGAATCTGACCTAAGGATGGTCCAACACGAAAGGCTGATATTAATAGAAAACGTACGGGAAAAAGGAATACCTACAAAAAATTTAAAGGGATAAATACACTGCACTCCATCTCAGAATTCTGAATTAAAATACTTACACCAATTCAAAATTATAAATACCTCCACTAATAATACTTATACCCGCCCTTGAATTGGCATCAAATTCAAGCTGACATCCACCCCTAACTGTATGGTGGAATAGGGATGGCAATTTTCCCCATCCCCAGTGGGGACCCGACTTCTTCGACCCGATGGGGTCAAGGATGGGGATGGGGATTGAGGTCCCCACCCGCCTCGACCCCGATTATGTATATATATTTATTATCATATTATTTATATTATATATATATATATTAAATATATATTATTATATTATTTATATTATATATATCAAAATATATTTAAAAAAATTATTTATAATTTAAAATATTTATTTATTTTAAGTAAATTTGTTTTTCAAATAAATACTATTATATATAAAAAATTCTGGGGATTCGGGTCCCCACAGAGAGCCTATCCCTGTCAGAGATTGGGGATGGAAGACAAAATTTATCCTCAACGGGGATCAAGGACAGGATTACTTTTATAATCGAGGTCGGGGACGGAGAATATGATCCCTACCCCGAACCCACTCCATTGCCATTCCTATGGTGGAGTTAGGATTTTTTAAGGGTGTACTGAACAGTAAAAACCCAAATCTTAAAAAGGTTATCAGAAGGAGACAAGGCATTAAACATTTTCTTTTCAGAGGTAAAGGTGGGAATGGTAGCGGTGGCGATAGTGGTGGTCTCTTCATGCTTTTTCAGTTTTTTCATTGATGAAGTCACAACTCGCAACCTCTTTCACTAAGGTAATGCTCATATCAGTTCAACATAATTCAGAGATGCAATGGTGCGGGTGCCAACTTGGCACACTACGTTGTCATGCGGGTGGGAGAGTCTAGGGTGGATGGCCTTGTTGAGGGAGACCGGATCTATTCCTCACACCTGGTGCCTCACATGCACATCCTATCATGCATTGGGAATATTTCCCGTACTTATTAATTATTATTCATGGGAGATATTCCCAATGCACGGTGGATATGCATGTGAAATGCCCATTTGTGAGGAGCAGATCCCGTCTCTTGTTGAGGTAACTCTAATCAGTGAAGGAACTGTTGGGATGGAGACAAAGATAGAGTGGATTAGAAGTTGGTCCTCTGATTTTTTTTTCATCAATTTTGTTTTATTTTGAGAATTTGATGAATGGTGGAGGGCAATTTCAAAACATTACAATTTTTCCTGACGATGAAATCAATGTCAGAAAAATTAAGGGTATTTTAAGACAATATGCAAACAGTAAAGATAGAGTTAATTAATTAGTTAAACCATAAAAGTAGTTTAAAAATTTGCCCTAAAGATTAATATGGATCCTATGAAATACACATTTTTTTAAAGGTAGTTACATGTTTAAATTTAACATTTTTTTTTAGAATGGAGTTAATTATTCTTACATTTTTTCAAGAAATGATTGGAATAGATACTTTTTTTATAAATAATCATGTGTCTAAAGTTAGCATTAATTTTCTAAGAATAAAATTAACTATTCTCAGTTTTTCCAAGGGTGGATAAACATATATCTAAAGAAGAAATCTTCCATTTGAAAGTGGAAAATATCCACTTTTTGAATACCGTTTCTTAAAAGCATAGAATGCCATGTGTTTCTACAAATTGCATTATATGAGGCTTATTTTTCCACTCTAGACCCTAATTTTCTGATACTTTTGTAGGGCCTCAACTTTCACTTGCAATAATAAGGTATCTTATATTTTCAGAAATCAACACTATGGACGTTATGATAAGTGGTAAATTTACCTAAATGCCCATTTATGGCTATAAGAGAATAAAATTGCAAAATGATAGAAATGGCTTGATTAATGAGCAAATCATTGTGTTGCTTCAAAGCCTTCAATGCCCTATTTATTCCACTCTAAGAAGAACTATGGTTTAAGAGACTCAATAAAGGAGAAGGGCAAATAACATTGGGAGTGCAAGTCAGGCGGGTTGGGCTGGGTTTATGGTCAATCCAGGCTTGGCCCTAAAATTTGGGCTAAAAACCCAAGCCCGGCCTGAGCCCAAGGTCAAACCCGATTTTTCCAATCCGAGCCCAGCCCACCCTGTAATTTGATGCATTCGTGTTGGGCTCAGGCCTGAGCTAGGCTTTATAGATAGATAAATGTATTTATACAAATATATATACATATATTTATGTATGTATGTAAATGTGTATGTAAATATCTATATACATGTTATATATACAAATACGTATGTATATATATGTAAATATGTATACAACATTTACATACATATATATATGTATGTATATAATTGGGCTAGGTTCGGGCTACCTAAGGGTTAGGCCCGAGCCCAACCCAAAAAATAAAAAGACCCCAACTTCTTGGGCCCAGTCCCAGACCGAGGACCAAAAATCCAAGCTCAACCCGTGTAAAATTCTGGGTTGGGCCAGTTGGGGGTTGGGCTGGGCCCGCCCAAGTTGCACCCCTAAATGACATCGGATGATCCATAACTAACATAATGCTAATAATTGGACTCGAGTGTTGATTTCTAAAAGTAAGGATATCTTGTTCTTGCAAGCGAAAGTGAGGCCCTTAGCAGTCCCTACCCCCCAAAATATGAGGTATCTCCCTATAATTTTCCCAAGGAAAAAGAGGGGCCACACTGTATGATATGACCATAGGTCTCTAGTTTCTCATCATCACCCTCAGTCTCGCTACTGTTGTCATCATTGTTGCCAGCCTTGTCCTTGTTCCACTTGTCTGCATTTTCTTCTCCTTTGCTTGCTACCTCTTGAATGGCTTCCAGATGTTTACAAAGGCCAATTCTACGACTCTTCTTGGTATGAGATCAAGAGTGTATGCAAGAGTTTCTCAAAGACTTGCCAAATGGCACCTCACTTAACTTTTTAGGTTTGAATTAGATTCTTTGACCCCCATATTAACGATTCCAATTGCCACACATCCTAAGACTACTTTAATTTTTAACCAGAAAAGAGCTTATCTTTGATGTTTTGAAATCACATGCATGAGAAGATCTCAACTTGGTGTCCTTAATTTCTACCTGACCTGGCCGTGTCTCCAGTTCGTAAAAGGGCTAATATACGGATGAAATAACAATGTTATTCCCCACCAAATTGGTTTGAACGTCTTGTATTTTGTTTTCGTGAGATAATGTTAGTTTTTTATCTTTCAAAAAATATAATAATAATAAATAACAATGTTATTCAATACAGTGAAATGATAATCAGAGGCCTCATTAATCGATGTGGAGACTAGTTGATAAAAAAGACAATTTCCGATATTGATGCATACTCCAAGTGAATATAAACTACAACTGAGCAAGAAAATAATGGTATCAAGCATTTACACCCCTTCAGAAAAAATATTGCAAATAGTTTTATCCTGACTGGGCGATGCAAAAAATAATAATAATAATAATTTTCACCCCTTCAGGTGAAGCATGCATAAAAACCTTAGAAACTTGTTTGCTTGCCATATAATGCACTGCTAATTCATTGGCCAATACATAAGTTTTATCCTGCCATATAATGCACTGCTAATTCATTGGCCAATACATAAGTTTGCCTGCTGAAAGTCGAATTTACGAAAAAGAAACTTATTACATAGAAGTTGAGTTCAAATCAACAAATCTGTACACCCAGAAAAGATGGTTCACAATGCTCCTTGCAACAGCATGAGCTTGCACATTTTGGAATATTGAAGGGGATTTCAACCTCGAGGGCAACAATAACTGCTCACCATTCAGCTCGATTCAGCTTCTTTGCATGACACTGCCGCCCTATTGCTGCCAAAAACATATCATTATGACTGAGGAATAATCTTCCAACTGAAACCTAACAATTGTACAAATATGGCTCGTGTTTTGGGTTGGTCAATAAAAATTCGGAGAAATACGGATACACACGATGAAGAATTCTGAATTCCAGCCCTCTCCCCCTATAAACCATGAATTTGGCATCAATTCACATTCTCCTACTTTGGTCAGCCTCTTGCACATGCATTTTGTAGGTTTTTAAGGTATGCCTATTTCAATCATAAATAGCCTCAAATAACAATTGTACGTCAATTTATATTGAGCAACCCAAAACGTTTCAAGTAGAAACAGTAATCATACCACCCATCCAMAAAAATTTAAACGGTTGATAATTTGATATATTTATCTGTTTCAAGCAATGGTTGCTCCGAGCCCATCACATGCTGGTTCCAAATTACATTTTCCTGCATGTTTCTACAACTAGGGGTGTCAATTGACCGGTTTTGGATTAGATTCAATCCAATCCAAACCTTATCAAATCGGATATGAACGGTCCATTATATTTATTAGATTGGGCCAATTCAAAATAAATTAGTCCATATTCTTATTAGGTCTGAATTGGACCTAAACCAAATTTTCAATAATCCGATCACGAGACCAAACCCTTGTCCAATTTGAAATTGATCAAAATTGAAGTCGGCATAAAATCACTTTTATGAAAGTACTTTTACAAAAGCTCTTTTACGAAACACTTTTACAAAAGCACTTTTATAAAAGTAATTTTATGAAAAATACTTTTACGAAAGCACTTTTACAAAAGTACTTTTATGAAAACAATTTTATAAAAGCACTTTTGCAAAAATACTTTTATGAAAGCACTTTTATAAAAATACTTTTACACGAAAGTACTTTTATGAAATCACTTTTACATAAGTACTTTAATCAAACTACTTTTATGAAAGCACTTTTGTGGAAGTACTTTTATGAAAGCATTTTTACGAAAGCACTTTTATGAAAGTACTTTTATAAAAACATTTTTACGAAAGCACTTTAATGGAAGTACTTTTACAAAAGCACTTATATAAAAGTACTTTTGCGAAAGCCTTCTATAGAAGTACTTTTATAAAAATACTTTTACGAAATACTTTTGTAAAAGCACTTTTTGAAAGTACTTTTATCAATGCACTTTTAAAAAGTGCTTTTCAATGCCAAAGGGTATATTTTTGTAATTTTCATATTTTCTTCATTTTAATATATATTTTTTAATTTTTTATATGTTCTGTTTTTTATATAATTTTTTATATTTCATTCGATTTGGATTGGATCCAATCCAATCCATTTACATTTTAATGGATTGGATTGGATTTGGACTGGATTAGGTCCAGTCCATTTGCAAGTGGGCTTACATTGAACTTGATCAGGTTGGACCAAATCCAGTCCAATTGACACCTCTATCTACAACCCAACGTGTATCCATGCAATTAATGGCATGAGATCTTCAGGTCTTGGAATCTGTTAGAAAAGTGCCTTGTTTCATATCCTACAGACTTGTTCATGGGCCAGGCTTGAGCTGATCTTTTGCCAAATTTTGAATGGCCCAGCCCGAAGCCCAAGCCCAAAGCAGTGTAAAATGTTCATGGGCCAAGCCCAAAACCTGGCCTGTGAACAGGTCTAATCCCATGAGTCTGAGGGTGGCAGATATGTTGCCAGCATATGCTCCTTATCTACTCCTCTGCAATATATCTAAAAGTCCGCATCCATTATCCTGTTTGGGTCGATGCCTACCTGCGAAGTCATCCACAAAGCTCTTGCAGAAGCACATTTGAAAAATAAATGCAGCTCTGTCTCTTGCTCCATTTTACAGATTGCACATAGCTCCTCTTTGCATGATCAACTTTTTAGTTCAATTTTAGTTGGTACTCTATCCCATAACAGCTTCTACATAAACAACTGAAACCTAAATGGTGCTTTAATTCTCCATATATGTATTCTATTTATCCTCTTGTGGCGTGGAGCAAGGCTGCCTATATAAAAGTGATTTATAGACAGCTTCACATTCTTTGTTCTCTTCCATAGCATACTATCTTGGTCCTCCATTCAACTAGCTGATGTGTATTTAATTGCTTGACATTCATCTCCTTCAAAAAATTCTCTAGTTTGCTATCTTCCTACTCTCCCCTATCCCTTGTTTTCCATTTGGTGTTCACCCACTCAATGTCAAAGAAAGAGAGCAACTTTGATTATTCGATGTGTCCTCTGTTTGTGGCAACTTTGTACACTGACTAATTGTGAGGCAATCAGTAGGCCCTCAACTGACTAGTCTGTCACTGGGTAATAACAAGGGGAGCAGTCCTCCAAGGATTAAAAATGGCAAGAAAAGCAGGCAATGAAAACTTGCAAATAGAAAGGGACTCAAAAGTAATAATAAGTTGGCTAACATCACATCTGAGAGCCCATTTGGATCAATATCTATCTAGAAATGTTTGGGATAGACAGCTGTTCAATTTCTATCTAGAAATGAGCAAGAATTTAGGCTCATTTATTGTCCAAGTATGGCATGCCGCCATCCCAAAAGTCTTCTGCACTTGGGGAAGAGCTGGCTTCATTCTTGGAAGAAATGGGGAGGCCCGGGAGGCATGCCCCACATATTTTGAATACCTATTTTATGATGGGTCCCAGTCTCATAGTCCAAATCATCCAAAATTTATGAAATTTGTCACTGGTGCAAGAATATAAAGAATCATTTTTCTTCAGTGGTTTCTTTCTTTGTTTCTATACCTGCATCCCATTGATTTATGTGGTTGACAGCCATCTGATTCATAGTCCATTCATTATGTACGTTCAAGAATCTTGAACATTAGAAAATGCTTTGATGTTCTATAGTTTACCCTAAAATATTGGGTCAATATCTGCAATAGATTTTTAGTACATCCCATGTGTTCAAGTGTTGACAAAATGAGTATGTTTGGGGTTGACTTTAGGATAGTTAAGAGAGCACAATGTTCTTTTAATTATTTAACTAAAAAAACATAAAAAGCATACTTATAAAAGGCATATGTTAGATTTAGTTACCTAGGGAGATGAACCCTCGTGGCTTGATGACAAAGACTGCACACACAGTGAAGGCAAATCCACAGGAATATCAGCATTTACAGGAGCCTATAAAGAATAAACAAACAATGAAATATGATATTTATAGTAAGAACCTCATAACTAAATCCAAGTGTACCCAAAAGCAAGATTAAGTAAAATTTACCTGCGTTGTGTTTAAAGGATTAGTTGATGCACCTAATATATCAGCCATGTTAATGTTGGGAAAATTTGCGCTCAAGGTGGACATCAGTGTTGTCACAGTCACTTGTAAGCGTGAAACAGTAGCCTGCATATCCTGCATTTTCTCCTCCATTTGCTGTACCTTCTCATCAGCCGACTTTTGAGCAGCAGAGGCTATCTTTAAGGCCTCAGCAGGGTTGGGTGTTGGGCCCCATAAATCAGAAGGAGTGGGACCTAACCCAAAAGTCCGAACACGGCCACGTCGTTCTTCTCCCATTACTTGAGAGAAGAAGTCATTCCTAGTATTGCTTCCCTGAGACTGTTGAGAGTGCTGTTCTTTGAGTTGTAACTACAATACAGAAAACAATCAGTTAGATTTTACAATTCATAAAATAATGTCCCTCACTCCATATATGGGAAAGATATAAAATTATGTACCATAACAAGTAAATACTTAAACATACAATTGCTAGTGATGAGGCTTTATCCACGGGTGTCCCATCTTTGCGTGTATGGGTCAATATGAACAGCTCAGCTCGTGTCAGCTCTTCCCCCCTCTTTGCCCGCTAATTGTCATGTGAAAATAATAATTCAATGCAGTATGATTTGATTGTCAAAATATACATCACAAATGAAATTATAAACATGTCCAAGTGAATAACAAAACTTACCTCCTCTTCACGTACCCTTGCAAAGCTCTTTCCACCTGCAGTGTGACTAATCATTTGCTTCGCACGGTTACTCTTGTTTGTAGCACTACGGGCCTACAATGTGGCACACCAAAGAGTAGACAGAAAAAGAAAATAAAAATAAATGTTAAAGAATAAATACTTAAAGAACTGTGATAATGCAATAATGTAATGCAAAAGATCCAATCAATGTTCAGTGCATACCTTCCCCTCTTCGGAGTTCCAAAACTCAACAAGAAGTTTCCACTGTTTAGGAAGAACACGTCCATCACGGTCAGCAAGCCGCTCCCGATCAGACTCGTGTGGCAAATAGTGGTATTTTTTCAGTTCACTCTTCCAGTCCTTCCATTTTTTGCCAATGGACTTCAAGACCCAAGATTTACTGCTTGGGTCAATGTCAAATTTGGCCTGCCTCACATGTTCAAAGCAATCAATCACATAATAATAATAATAATAACAAAGAAAACATTGAGCAATATATTTTTCACTGGTACCATAACAAGCTGCCACATATTCTCCTTGCGCTTAAGTGGCATTGCCCTCCAGTCAAGATAAGTTAGAGGTGCAATTCGCCCATCCCGTGCTATTGTGCCCAAGAAAGTTGTTAGCTTTCTTCCCCCAAACCCAATGGGCTGTTTATATTTGTTGATTGCAACAGATATGTGTTGGCCTTCAGGCATAGTCCATACATCGAGGCACCTTGTAGGGCCTCGAGTCTTAGGGATGCTAACAGGATCTATAAAAGACAAAAAAAAGAGGATAGCAAGAATAAGGACATAATATATATATCCTAAGCATACAAACACATGAATTTTCAACAAATATAATGATATATAGCATACTAGTATCAATATCTACAGAACTCTGGGAATTGACTGAATCAGGCGACTGTGGGTAACTGGAGCTTGGCTGACCCTGCTGGGATAGATGTGTCTCGTCAGAGCTTGACTGTATCTGGCTCGGTTCTATGTGGCCCTGCTGCTGTATATGTGGGTGGTAGGAGCTTGACTGAAAATGGTCAGTTCCCATATGGACCTGCCGTTGAAGACATGGATAGCTGGAGCTCAAGTGCTGGTTGGATTTCATTTGGACTTGTGTGCCTTGCTGGATCAGATGCGGCTGGGAGGCAGATGATTGGGGCATCTCTGACTGGCTATTGCTGCCAAACCTGGAGCCTACAGAAGACCTAAGCCAATGTCCACTGTGCCTCGTGGCAAAATCCTCTAGTGCAGATGCCCTTAAGAATGAAGAAATTTACATGGTCAATAAAACATAATTGTTTAGACAACCACCACAAACAAGCATAAAATAAGGACATTTGTCCATGTTTATAAAAAAACATTAATTTTCAAGACATTAAAGCATAAAGACATAATAAGGTAAAACAGAATTCGAAAACTGGACGTGTAACCTCCATTCCTGTCAAACTTGGTAGCATCTGAATGATCTACCTCCATTACCAAGGGAAGTGCTAGAGGTATGACAATTACTATTCTATCAAAAACTGTCATCCCAACAAAAAACAGCATCACCAGATGATTAAAAATATTAGATAAGGTGGGTGAAAAAAAAACACATGCCCTTATAAATTATACCATTATTGTATGTACTGTTGGAAGGCAAACCAGTATTTTAAAACTACAAGGTGAAAAAAAAAAGAAAGGAAAAAAACCCAAAGGGAGTTTTGCGCCTGTGCAAAGAGCTATCTACAACTGAAGGGCAAGGTGCAAGGTGCAAGGACAAGTGTCTTTTTGAAGCAAGGTGCAAATTTTTTAAAAATTCAAGAAATGGAAAAAAAAACAAAATAAATAAAAACAATATTAATTAAAAATGCTTTTTTTTTTTGAGAAAAAGGCTAACTTGATTAAGAAAGAAAAGAAAGCCTATGTGCTTAAATTCTAAACAAAATGTGTTAGCCAAGGCATGGGAAGAAGCCATCTGTTTTGGCCTGTTCTGTAATTTTTTTCTTTCTGTCGTTTTTGGGAGAGATAAGAGAGGCTATCTCTCCATGTTGTATTTATGCTTAACTTGCTTCATTATCAATGAATTATTTCTGTTATTGATCAAAAAAAAAACATGCTTTAGCCTAAAAATGCAAATTTTAATTTTAAACAAAATGTTTTAGAAAACCTATGAGCTCAAATTAAAATATGCATAACATATAAAATATATTCATAGATAATGACAAGATATTCTGTCATTTGCAAATAGCTATACACAAACATACATGTATGTGTTTCATCAATGCTCCCAAAGTTTGGACCTTTTCAAGTTTGACACTAAAGCTCAATTTGGAAGAGTACAGATACAAATATGTAGAGTGCAAAACTTTGTATTTTGTATTATTTTGTATATATTTGTACTCCTTCCAAACTGAGCTTAAGTGACTTTAAACCATGTCATTATACAAAGGTATACAAGACGCTAGTCCATCAAAGCCAGCTGCTATTTTTGAGAACACCGCAAAAAGGAATTCCCGTATACTTGTATAGAAAAATGCCATTCCCAATAATACTTGCACTAAGCTAAACCATGGTTTAAAATGTCCCTAATTTCCTTAATATTTCCATGACATATTTCCATTTCCACGGGTAGCAACATGAAAATTTGCCAGAATTGACATATTCCCCAATAAACACTACCAGCATTATGTGAAGTACAAGAGATAGTTTCCACGGCATATTTCAATTTCCGCTTCCATGGGTAACAACATGAAATTTTATTGGAATCAACATATTCCCCAGTGAACATTACCAGCATTATGTGGAGTACAAGAAAAACGGGCAGCCCAATGCAAAGGCTCTCGCCAATGCTGGATCTGGGGAGGGACAGATGTACACAGCCTTACCCCTACACATACAGAGAGGTTGTTTCCAAGATTTGAACCTTAGTGACTCAAGTTGCAATGGAGCAACCCAACTGTTGCACCAAGGCCCACCCTCACTATGTGAATTACAAGAGGTAGTACTATAACATAAGTTGGTGACAATATTGTAGATATGTGGAATAACAATGTTATTACCTGCCTAACTTACATGATTACCACTTTGAGCTAGCTCAATAATCATTTCAAACATGAAGTTAGATATGTGGAGTAACAATGTTATTTACCTGCCTAACTTACATGATTACCGCTTTGAGCTAGCTCAATAATCATTTCAAACATGAAGTTAGATATTAGTTTTTGTTTGTGTAATAGATTATTCGGTTGGTATTAAAAAAACTTAAATGGATAACAAGGCACATTTCGTGTAGATACCAATGGGTGGGCAGGGAGGCAAATGCCTTGGCTGATTATCTTGCTAAACAGGGGTCTGCTAGGGATTGGTTATTTTGGGTAGCTTTTTAATTTTTTCTCTTTGACCACTTCTAATGTTAAGGGGAGGTTGCTTCTCGTGCCTCTCTGAGGGATGCTTGTAAAGTTTTATTATGCTTGATTAATGAAATCAATTTTCAATTATCAAAGAAAAAGATTATTTGGTTGGTCTATTACAACCATTTACATTTTCTGAGTTTAAATTTTGCTTTAACTCATTCTATCATGAAGCTTTGAAACTTAAGGTTTATAGCACAACTTCAGAAGTCAGAATGTATTCTTTTGTCTATACATTAGTTTCTTAGCTTTGTTTAATGATTTGGAATGAAATAATAATTTAAAAAGGTGTTCCTAAGCTCCTTTCATCATTTCATAAAATATTTATTCTATATTTTGCATATTTTAGGATGTTTCCACCATGTCTATAATTTTTACATATTTCCAACATTTCTGACATGCTTCCTATATTTGGACTACAGGCATTTTAAACCTTGAGCTAACCATTTAGAGATTGCAGAGGTATTATTTCCAAGGTAACAAAGCTTGTAAAATGACACATTTTGTAGAAAATTTTATGATAGAGATACCTTCATTTATTATTCAGACCAAGGCATCACCCACCATTCATCTATTAGAGAAAGAGAGACTACCATTAAATAAAGCATCTGGCCCTCCTGGCTACCCACTTATGGTATTCATACAAAAACGAAATATTAAAAAAAACTACCATGAAATAATTACCTTGTAAGACATTTTCCGAAGACAGTAAGTGTGTCCTTGGCAACAGCCTCTAGCTCTACTATCTACCATTAAAACAAAGCAAAAAATCCGGACACATCATAAATAGGCACACATCAATCATAATATAATCTTAATTTATAGAAAACATTAAATAATAAACCAAAATCAAAGTTACAAACATCAAAATATACCACCACCACAAACATATTGTTTGTCCCAAGACGCCCTAAGATAATCGTGGATGAGGTCGTTAAGGCACTGAAATACCAGTAACCCATTTAAACATCAAATATTAGATAAGAGTGCAACTCAGGTTAGCCCAAAGTTTGCATTTTACATAGCATTGGGCTTGGGCCATTGGGCCGGGCTCATTCAAATTTTGACAAAAGCCCAGCCCAAGCTCGCCCAAGTTGCACTACTGACGTTAGATAAATGCAATCAGATACTCAAATCTGATATTGGAAGACATTCAATAAATGCTTAACCAAAGAAACTTGGAGCATATAATAAAGAATACATCAAATAAAAGCAGTTAAATCAATTAATTCAAGATAAGGGGAATAATAACACTTTACTTCATTATATATATATATACATATATACATATATAATCATAGGTCAGATAGAATGGAAAACCATCCCCCCCTATATGTTTGTATGTATATCTTACAACTGTGCCTAGAAAATTGTTCCCAACCCAGCCATTTAACTGCATCAGCCATTTCATTTAAAGATATTTTTGCCCAATGGACTTTTAACTACATATTTCTGCGCATTATTAAGTAGCCAAGTAATTATCACCTTGGAGTCCCCCTTAACAATTAACTTTTACATTTGCATATTGGTTGCTCACTGCACTCCCTGTAATACTGCCCTCAATTCTGTGCTCAAAGAGTCTCATACTCCAATACAGCTAAAAAACAAAGCAATGATATGACCTTCTTCATTCCCAACACCTACAATTCCAAATGGTCCTGAATTTTCCATATTGATACAGTCAAAGTTGAGTTTTATAAATCCCATAGACGGTGTCCCCCATATCCCTTGAGTTGAACTCTTTCTTGCAGATGTTCTGGCCACCTCTCCCCATTTTCCAATAATACCATCAGTTTCTCATCATTGAATTTGCCATGAATCAAGAGTATTGACCCAATAACATGAAACAGAAAACAGGATGGACTCCTATGAGAACAAGGAGATTTTACATATTGAGTCATAACTGCATTAAAGAGAAAGGCTAAAGAAAAAAAAAAGAAAGAACATCGCAATTGCCACCTGAAAAAAAAAAAAAAACATCGCATTAAAGAGAAAGGCTCAAGTGGTTGACATTTCCACTGACACCAACATTTTAAATAAGCCTTACATTCCACACACTAAATAAGCTCTTATAACCACTACAATACAAGGGTGCAATGCAAATTGGTACAGCATATCCACAACAGAGATTATAAGATGACCTTCAACAGATCATTTCATGCTAAGATTTACTGATAACTCTTTTTTCTCAATTTTTTTCATTTACCGATCACACCTTGCTCAGGTTTTCATGACGGTAATTTGGTCCTCCAATGATATCATGACACATGGCATTGCAGAATAGTAGGGTGACAACTCAGCATCACGTAAGCAGACACCAGGAGTAATTTGGAGTTTGGACACTTTACAACCGCCTCGACAACCTCGGCACCACTCCAGTAGGCCAAACTACAAACAGCCAAGCAAGACCTCAGGTCAGCGTAAGAGGCGACCTGCTTCCACCAATCTGACCCGACTCCGGTCAGTGACCTAACTGACGTGTCGAGTGACCTCCCCCTTAAGCAGGCTATCGCCACCGAATTCCCAGAGATCACAACACCACGTAAAAAGAGCCGATTATCACCCCACCCGTTTCGGGCGGGATTGGATAAACGTTACCCGCTAACGCGGAGTCCACCTCCAAGCGTGAAACCACCTCCAAACCAGATGGGCCGAAGATCCCAAACGCGTTTCATGAGGCTCACAACAACTTGCCTATATAAAAGCCTCAACTCCAACCTCACAAGGTACGCGCAATTTGGCTCTCGCAATTCTCTAGCTCTCTTGCTTTCTTGCAAACTATTACCAATTCACTAGCTTAAGCATCAGAGTGCCCACCCCTGGTCAAGCCACCCAGACACTTTGATAATCACTTTCTTGCAGCTCGACCCGGCAACCTACTTAGTCCAACGTTAGAGCTGTCGGCCAACAGGGAGCACTAGATCGTGCATCATCAATTGGCGTCATTTGTGGAATCGCTACACAAAAGGCATATTCTCACAGTCTCTCTATAGCTACATCTTCAATGGCATCTTCCAACAACACCCCTGTCAACAACGTGCGTGTTGATGGAGCAATCACAAGGGGGGCAAGACCAGCATGCCGTGCACGCTGACGTCCCCTTTGTTACCATCAGGCAAATTGTGCCCCTAACCTTACCTGGTGCCCTATCACGTAGAACCCTAACCGCCCTCTGCCCACCGTGAACGCGCCTCTTCCACTGGTCGAGCGGCTTGAGCCCTCAGTGGTTCCCATTGGAATTGATGGTCACCAATTCAACAAGTTGGTGCAGTTCGTCCGCGGGACTGACTTGCAGATGAGAACGTGGGAAGGTCGTTTTGCCGCATTAGCAGAGATGCAACAACAACAACAATAACAACACCAACACCAAGCTGCCAGGTAGAACGTCAATCAGAACCAACAGCCTGGCGACCAAAACCATAACCAAGTACTAGACCCACCTTGCTGTCACGACAACCAGAACCAGGTTCCCGTCGTGGAGTCAACTCAAGCCATGACGTATGAGGCCACCAACTCAATTGAGGGGTCTCGAAGAAGGCGTTGCAGATGTACACGCCACACTGCAGGAAGGAGCCGCCTCACTCCAAGTGACAACAAGGAGGCGGAAAAGAAAGAAGACAAGAAAGAGGCGAGCCAAATCGCCACCTCGTCAGTGCAACTGATGACCACACCTCACCACTGGCCGCATAAATCCTCATTCCCCATGGCCTAAGGACTTTAAGGCCCCTAGCCTGGAATCATACAACGAACAACTGACCCAGTCAACCACCTCAATAGCTTCCAGGCCTTGATGCAGCCACACGGGGACAACAATGCGAGCCTCTACATAGACTTCCCAACCACCTTTCGGGGCACAGCTCGGATATGGAATTCAAGACTGGGCTCGATTATAAGCTGGAGCCAGTTCGCCGACCTCTTCACCACCCATTTCTCAATGAGCAAGTGGTGCCCAAAGTCAACAACCTACCTCCTAAACGTAGTCCAACGACCTGACGAGAAGCTCAGGCATTACATCAAGCGCTTCAACCTAGAGGGGCTACAGATCCCGAACCTCAACCCAGCCATCCAGCTCACCACGACAGTTAAAGGCATCTGGCACCCTAACTTGCACTAGAAGGTTGAGTTGAACCCTCTAGCCTCCATGGAGGAGTTTCTCAACCAAGCGGCCAAATTCACAAAGGTTGAGGAAGTGCTCGGATCCCAGTTAGAGTTGAGCAAAAAATGGAAGAGGTCAGAGCATGAATAGAGGAGTAGCAAACAGAGGAAGAAGAGCAGGTCATCGAGGCACAGTAGGTCCCCTGTAACCAACGTAGTAGGTCACCATTGAGAAGAAGCAGGTCACCTTACAGAGGCAGCAAATCCTCAGGCCGGCGTTCTTGCACCCCTCCCATCCATAATCGCAACTACACTGCTTTAAATGCGAAGAGGGGAGAAATCTTGATGCAAATAAAGATGCCCAAGTACGTTAGATGGCCACCTAGGATGAGAGGAGACCCTGCCAACAGGAACCCGAATGAATAAGTACTGCCACTTCCACCAGGACATTGGCCATGATATAGAAAATTGTCGTAATCTAAAGAACGAGATCGAGGAGCTGATTCACCAAGGTTACTTGAAGCAGTTCATCAAGCATGAAGACCGCCACCAACCTGCCAACCAGCCAGAGAAGTGCCACAATCGAGAAGGGATCAAAACAGGGACTAGCCTCCCAAAGACCCATCACTTGTAAGCGGTCCATCCGTGGTGTGATCAACATGATCACGGGTGGGTCCATTGTGGTAGGATGCAGGTCACCGACATCAACTTGGAGCCACCCCCAAAGAGCAGCAACGGGAGAGCTCGCCCCATGGAGGACACCGTCCTGGTGCCGATCTTAGATACCAAACCTGTAAAGGCGGTGTAGATTGGAGCCCGCCTCAAGGAACCATTACGCTCTGAACTAGTAAGTTTTTTAATTAATAATTTAGATGTTTTTGGTCGACAACAGAAATGCCCAACATAGACCCCTCTATCATAACTCATAGGCTGAATGTTCACCCTTTAGCAAGACCAATCTTGTAAAGGAAAAGGACCCTCGCCCAGGAGCGATGGAGGATGGTGGACGAGGAGGTAGGGAAGCTCCTCATAGTAGACTTTGTTAGAGAGGTCCAATACCCGAGTTGGATTACAAACCTAGTGCTTGTGAAGAAGGCTAACAGTAAATGGCGCATGTGCGTCGACTACACCAACCTCAACAGAGCTTGCCCAAATGATAGCTTCCCACTCCCTAGGATAGACCGCCTAGTAGACGCGACCTCAGGGTTCGAGCTGTTGAGCTTTATGGATGCTTATTCCGGCTACAACCAAATCCAAATTGATCCAGCTGACCAGGAATAAACCGCCTTTGTTACTGAAATAGGCTTGTACTGCTATAAAATAATGTCCATTGGTTTAAAAAACGCTAGAGCGACCTACCAGCGCCTTGCAAACAAAGTGTTTTCCGATTTAATTGGAAATAAAATAGAAGCTTATGTTGATGATATGGTTGTGAAAACCCAGTTTTCAGAATCTTTAATTTTCGATCTAAATTACGATTTTGATATTTTAAGAAAATACAACATGAAGCTCAACCCGAACAAATGCGTCTTTGGGGTTACATCGGGCATGTTCCTTGGGTACATGGTGAACCAACGTGGCATTGAAGCTAACCCGGACAAAATCCAGGCCATCCTAGATATGAGACCCCCTTGATCGATTAAAGAGGTCC